GCGGGGCAAAGAGGTGGAATTCCCAATCCTCTCTGTCTCCGAGCTGTAACTCCTGACTCCTGAAGGGTCATGGGATCCTCTTTGTTTCCTGTCCCCATCCTAGAGATCAGAGCTGGCAGGAGCCAAGCCCACTGGGGTCTCTGGTACAGGGACCCGCAGTGTATGGTGTTCTCCTTGGAACTGCTGCCCCAGGACCAACCTTGACCTAACCCTGTCCCAGGGTGACAGTTTTGCCCAGCTCCCTTCTCTTTTGATACCCTTTTCTTTCCCACTGCTTCCGGACCACGTTTGTCTGAGGCCCCTGGGAGTGGTCAGGCTGAGCATTTCTGTGAAAGAAGGGGACCTTGCACAGGTCAGAACTAAAGCTAGGCTGGGGAGAGTTGGGAAAGACTCACCTGTGACTGAGACTCAAGACCCTGTTGGAACCCTTCCCACTACAGTACTGCCCTGAGGTAGACCCTTGCTTTGGGGTGGGAATCAGCAAAAAGCCTACCAAGTGCTAGTAAGTCGGCCTCCTCCAGTCTCCCACTGCCTACTTCTCTCCGTTTTCTGCCTCTCTCCTGTCTCTTTCTCTCTGTTTCTTGTGCCTGTTTCTCTTTTGTGTCTACCAGCCCTATTTGTCTCTTCCTTGGTTTCTGGCCTCTCCCTTCTGGGTTTAGCCACTCCCCTCCACCCCCATTCTTTGCGTGTCTCTCTCCCACTTGTGCCTGTCAGGCTTCCAGTGCCTCTCCTCTTTGCCCTTGGTTCCTGACCAAAAGAAGGCCCCAGTATCCTGTGAGGGCTCATTCTGCAGACAGCTCCACAATTCCCCTTATTAATCACCAATAAGGGATGCAGCAATGTCACCTTCATCAATGGAATTTCTTCTTTTCCCAAAGAAAGTTTGGGCTGGCACCAAGCTGAGGTTTCACGGGGCTGGGAGCCCAGCTTGCCTGGAGAGGGAAGTGGTTGCCAGGCCACCAGTGGGCCCTAGACCCTGTACCACCTCAGGGAGTTGCAGGAGGGACCCTGAGATGAGGCAAAGAAAGGCCCAACGATGGCATGTGCTTTGGGCAGGGGCACTTGCTTCAGTCACTGGGAAGTAAAACCAACTGAAAAGCCTCTTCTTTTCCCTCCAGCAGAGTCAGGGCACTGGCAGAGCCTGACAAGGAGATAGGACCACAGGAGAAGACAGGAGGTCGCTTTAACCAGGGGTTTCAAGACCCAGCATTTTAACAGTTACTCAGACCATTTCCTACACATCCAAAAAAAAAACCCAAAAAACAAAAAGCACAAGACAAATAGCAGGGCCTATGCCCTCTCCCCCACATGCTTGGTGACCTCTCCTTTCAGATTGTCTAAGAGACTCATTTAATCTCACTAGTCATTTCACATATTAGTTTTGAGCCCCTATTAGAAGCCAAGTGTGGGCTCGATTCCAGGGGTTCAATCTGCTTGCCCTCCAGGACCTCATGGTCTGTGTAGGGGAGATAGGAATAACTGCACAATAACACACCCCATGATTACCATGTTAGAGGGGGACTGGGAGCCAAACTGGCAACTCCTATCCCCAAATGTGTTGGCTGGAGGGAGTAATTCCGTGGAACCTGACCTGGCTCAGACCAATCTGGCCGGGGGAGAGGATGGTGAACCTGGGTCCTCAGGATGAAGAAGCATAGCTAGGGAGAAAATAAAATGGTCAAGTGTAGAGAAAGACTCAGAGGTAGAAGAGAACATTCAAATGAGCAGAGAAAAAAAAAAAATAACAGGGCTGAGCAATGGATGGGAACAGAAGAGGGGAGCTTGCACCTCTCATGCCTTCAAGACCAGGGGCACCCCTGCGCTCTGTGCCTTTCCTTCCTGGGTTCCTGTCTGTAGAAAGTCTTCCAGAATTTCTTCAGGAAGGCAGAGCTGCATCTGGGACCTGGCCCTTCCTTGGGCAAGATGGAGAGAGGGAAAAAAAAGATGGGGAGGGGCGAAGTCACCACCGTCCTGCCTGGTGCTGAGGCCCCCTCTCTGTCCTTATCTGAGCCCCACTGACCCCTCTCCCTGGCGGTAGCTTTGGGTCACCACTGCACAGCCTGATGACACCAAGCCCTGGTCATTAGGACATGGAGGACTTGAGGAGCCTAAGGAAAGGGCTCTAGGTGGGAGCTGGTACCATGGGTAAGGTGAGCTCCCTGCAGCTGCCTCTAAGATCCATAGTTCAGCTGGGTCAAGGAGGACATGAAATTGATAAACTGAGCTGGGGGAGGGGAGGCTGCGTGGGGACAAGTGGGGTCCTATGGGAAAGTGAGTATTATAAATGGGCAGGGGCTTGGACACCAGAGTCTGAGTGAGGTGAGAAATGGTGGGGTATATAAACTGAGGACTGTGGTATAAAGACACCTATCTGGAGATCAGCCTCTCATCTAATGGTGGGAGAGAGGCCCCCAGCTATCCCCCCTGGCCTCTAATGCCTTTCAGACAGCACAGAGCACAGTGCCTAGCACAGTAGGGACCCAATAAACGTGAAAGCACAAGTGTCCCCTGTGGGCCAAGTTGACTGCATATAGGAGGCACACCTGCACATCGAAGACCCCCAGCACTGATATGAGGGAAGGGGCATGTTTCCTGAGGTCTCTCCTTACCCCTCTCAGGCCCCTGGTCAGACCACTGCCTCAGTTTCCCTTCTGGCAGCCCTTGAAGAGATGATTCTACAGCACCACATCGTGACAGGTCCCAGGCTTGCTTTGCTACTTCCATGGCAACCTCAATTCCTCAAATTTCTCCTTGGCCCCCAGGAGGAGCTGGGTGCCTCAGTTCTTTCCAGTCTTGGGCAGAGAATCAGAACCCCTGGGTTTCGTTCCTGGATCTCTCACCATCTAAGCACAAAAGGGCATAAATTCTCCCTGCCTCCATGGGTAATTAGGATAATCACAGCAACAATCATGGTGATGAATAAATAATAAACATAAGCATAACAGTTCTGATGCCTGTCACATCACCAGGAGATTCCTGATGATATATGACTGTATTCTAACTGATTTGGTTATTAACAAGCACACTGTTTTAATGACTTAAGGCTAAATTAATCTGGGTAATAAAAATAATTGTTATTAGTAGTAATTTATTAGCAAAGATAATGAAATGCATGCGTAATAATAAATACTACCAGGATTAGGGCCCAGGGAACAATACGGAATTTAGCTGCTTACTCTGAGCTCTTTCCTAGTAGCTCAAAGACCCAACGAGATTAAAAATTTTTTCCTTCACCATCAAAAAAGGCTTTCACAAAGGTGGCAGTGGTGAGGCAGGATTTTCTCATCCATTTTCTAAACAGAGAAACTGAGCTTCTTGACAAGTAAGGTCTCCCCCTCGTTGGATTTCCACCTACCTTTAACTGGACCATGAGTTTTTCCAGCTAAGTGCCCCAAACAGTTCCTTCCCAGGTTAGGGAAGAAGCAGTTGAGGGGAGAAAAGATGGCTGGAAGGATCTGGCCTTTAAATGGCAGTCTACATGCAAATGTATTGGGTCCTCCCGTAGCAGCGCTGCTGCTGACTCAGCAGCTTTGGCACAGCTGACCCTCAGTTCTGCCTTCTACCCAGGAGAGAGGATGCCCCCCCTCCCCAATTTGGTTTGGTCCAGCCCAGACTGCTTTTAGGGAAGGGGCCAGAATGAGTGGGGCTGTTGAGGAGCCTGGCTGAGTGAAGCCCACTCAATGCAGCTTCCCCCAACACAAGCCAGAACCTTGGAGCTGGCTTCTCTCTCCCCGTTCTCCACCCAGGATGTCCTGGAGAGGCTCCAGGTCCTATGGTTCAGGACTGCGTTCCTCGGTGGGAATGTGTCCACCACCACACATCCTCGCTATCTTATGATTATAGTCAGAGCCTGCAAAAGCCATGGTGGCAGGCTTCAACCCTGGTGCTCCCTTGCCCCACTGTCCTACCTATCCCTCCCCTCTTCCATCAAAACGAGGACCAGCACGGATATCAGGTCAGACTAAGGATCACAGAAAGTTATGAGGAGTCTGTCTCCCACCCACTCTCTTTCTTCCACCGTGGGGTGAGACAGGAGGAGTCAGAAACACTCTTCGAGTGGGGCAGTAGTCACAGGTATAGCTACAGCTCCTCGGAGGTGGTTGTACAGGCCCAATCTGAGCCTTGGGAGGGGAAATAATTACCGGGCCTTCCACCTCACTGCTCCTGCGTGGCAGACTCCAGAATGAACTTCAGATAAGGAGTCTAAAGATCGGGTCCTTGTACTAGGGTGGTTGCTAACCAGCAGCCTGGCAGGCGCAGTCCCCTAACCTATGGGGCCAAGGTGCACCCTGTGTCCGTCTACTGGCATGAGAACAGGTGGATGTGGCTGAAATGTAAGGTATCATTATTACAATTAAAGCAGAGAGAAATAAATGATGAGAAAGGGATGGCCCTACATCGTTGGGGGTCCAGAGAATTCCTCTCAGCAAGGAGGGGGTTCCAGGCTGGGCTATCCTAGAGGCATTGTTGAGGTCTTCAGTAGGCCAGATGGTAAGACCTAGAGAAGGTAAGGAGACTGATTCCACCTTGACCCCCAATTCAGACCCAGATTACACCAGCCCTAAAAATCCAGGGCTCCTATGTAAGACCCCAAAACACACATTATGACTGGAAAAGGGAGGAAATGATGGGAGAGAGCAGGCTGAGAGCCCCAATGGGGCTGAAGGTGGGGCTTTTAGGGCCAGCAGATCCTCCTTACCTCTGACAGTTCCCCTCCCTTCGAGACCCCACGGCTCGCCCTCCTCACCCCTACTTTCTTGCACACACCCCTCCTCCCCCACCCCACCTCCCTCAGGTGCGGGCCAGCGCCATTGCCCAGGACGCAGACCAGAACTACGACTACGCAAGCAACAGCGTGATCCTGCACCTGGACGCGGGCGACGAGGTCTTCATCAAGCTCGACGGAGGCAAAGCGCATGGCGGCAACAGCAACAAATACAGCACGTTCTCCGGCTTCATTATTTACTCTGATTGAGCTTACGGCGTCCCACTGCATCCCCTATCTCCCCACCCCAGGGGCTCCCTGTCTGGCGGGCAGAGGGTGACCCGTCCCCGCTCCACTTCTTCGCTGCCGGGTCTGGCTGCCATCCCTTCGCGGCTAAGACGCCCTGGTCCGCCTTCAACACCGCTCCGGACGCAGCTTGACCCTCCTGCCTGCTCGCCGCAGAGCCGGACCCATCGCTCCCTGTCCTGGGCCCCGGGAGGCAGGCAGTGTTGACTGTCCCGCCCTGTATATTTGTACAATAGGACTGTTTACTGCCCCAGGCTGGGGACAGGTGCCGGCCAGGTCGCTTCCGAGCTCGGTTGCGCTGCCCTTCTGCTCTGGGGCGGCTTCGCCTGGGGGAGGGGTGGGATGGGGCTGGATAGTCTCCCAGCACTCCCTAAAGCCCGGCAGGCCACGCCCCGTATGACCAAAGCTATAATAAAAACACTTCCACCCGCTGGGTTTCATTCTGTGCCCTGAGGAGGAGTTGCAGGAGGGGACCATGACTCTGCCTTCCTCCAAACCGGGAAGGGGTCTGCTGGAAGCTGCCCATGGGTCTGGGGGGAAACCAGGTGCCAGAGTCAGAGCTGCTTCCAGGAGGAGGTGGGGGCTAAGGGGCTGGTGCCCACCACAACCCAAGTGGGCCTGGGTAGCTGGAATGGGAAGCAGCCCAGTTACATCATCATCTTCCAAGGTGGATAAATTCGATTTTTTTCACCCTTGAAAGTGGCACCAGCATTCCAAAGGACACAGCAAGGTTTAAACTGAGACACCCAGGTTCTCATCCAGTGCCACGAATGTGATCCTGGGCAAGTCACTCGTCTCTGACTCACTTCTAGGTTACTGACGGCCATGAAAGGAACAAGCTTTGCACTAAGAGCTGATTGACCTTGGCCCAAGCACTTCGCCTCTGGGCCTGTTTTCTCATCTATAAAATGTAGGTGACCTACCTCACTTGACTGAGGATTAAAGAGATATAATGTATGTGCCCAATAAACATAGTTTTATTATTTATACATCACTTTAAAGTTTGCAAAACGCTTTCAGGTATGTCATCTCAAGGCTCTCAAGAGCTTTGGGAGGTTGGATGAGCAGATTTAACTCTTGTTCCACAGAGATTAAATAGCTTGTTTATTGTGACACAGCTGCTAAGTTCTGTGATTGCACTTGAATCCAAGAAGCCCTGCACACTAAGTCTCGGCGCCCTACAACTGCCTCCCTCACTTCCTCACAGAGGCCATGCAGCTGCACAGTGAGGGCATCCCTAAATAGCAATAGTTAATATTTAGAGAGCACTCACCCTATATGTCAGACACCATATAGGAATTGTATAAATACGATCTCATGGATATGTATGTGTGGGGGGTGGCTTGGCAGGAAATGCTCTCGTGCCCTTTAACGTGGATACTGTTATTACATCTGAAATAATGAGGGAACTAAGGCCCAGAGTTAGGTTAAATAATTTGCCAAGGTCACGGAGGCAAATGCCATGCTCTTTCCTGGTACACCGTATTTCAGAGATTTGGGACCTCCAAAGCAAAACTGAGGAAGGATGGCATCGAGGCAGCTCGGCCTCCCTCCCCATCACACTCAGCCCTTCCACTCCCACTCCTGCCCTGCAGAGGCATGGTGTATTTACAAGCATCTGCCCTGGGCAGCAGCCATGGGGTGAGCCTCGGGATTCTCCGCGAGGGAAAGATCCCATCTGGCCTCCCCAACCTGCCCCCACCCTCCATCCTGCTGCTCAGCTGGAGAGACAGGAAGAAGGGGTGGCCTCCCTTCCAGTCAGGCCCCATGTATGGACCCTTGTCATGGCTGGCAGACTTGAATGACTTTCTTTATCCTCCCTTCTCTCCCCTACTTCCCCCTACTGCCAGCTGTGGCCATTTAATAAAATTAGCTTAATACTTGTTCCTTCCCTGTGGGGTCTGGAGATTGAAATCTGCAGGTCCCCACAAACCCAATAAAACCCCTGGCAGGTCTCGCTGGAATGAGAGTTTCCTTGGGGAGAGCGATTAGATTAGACAGCACTACCCCCTGCTCCCCAGTGCTGCCCACAGCCCCTGTGATTCTTTAATGGCCACATTGGCCCGGAATTACCCAGCCACATACCTGGGGGGATCCCCACTTTTCCCCAGACACCATAGGGACTGGTCTAAGACCTCTGCTACAACAAAAAGCATGTTAATTATTTCTGTAGGGAGTGCCTGGCTCACCCGCTGGCTTTCTTTTTTTTTTTTTTTCTGGTGACCAGGTGATCCTGATGTCATTTTGAGAAATGGACTTAAAAAATCTCCATTTTGCAGATGAGGAAATAATAGTCTAAAGGAAAATCATGACTTGCCCATGGTCATGCAGCAAGTTTGTGGCACGACTGTGACTGGACTGAAGCCAAGGAGTGTTACTTCCTTTGCAGGGCACCAGGCGTGTCTGGCAGTGGCAGTTGTCAGCTGCTTGTCACTCGGGCAGCATCCCAGCTGCAGAGGAACCTGTTGGGGAAATGTCTTCCCCATCAGACAGGGGCTCCCCAAGGGCAAAGTCTTGTTATTTTATTTTTATTCTTTTCCACCAGAATGGGAAGCTTCCTGAAAGCAAGATCTGTGTCTCCTCCATCAGACTGGGAGTCCTCAAACACATTGTTTTGAGTGAATTGAGGGCAAAGCGAGTATCTCTACTGAGACTGGGGCTTGGAGAGTTTCCTAGATGCAGACTGTGGCTCTCTTCTCAGTGGATCTGACAGTAGACATTGTAATTTTTCCATTAAACTAAGGCTTTCTGAAACCAGACTCTGGGACTAGGGTTTCCCCAAAGGACAAATCCTGTCTCCTCATCCAACTGGGAGCTCCCTGAAAGCAGGGCAAGTGTCTCCCCTCCTCCTCAGTCAGGGGCTTTTCCAGCACAAGAACATTCCAGAGCGCAGGGCTGGCAAAGTGGTAGAAAGGAGGTTGAACAGGCAGAATGGTGGTCCCACTCTGGAGGGAGGAAGTAATAAGCCTTCCCAGGCTGCCTCCCTTTTAGGAAGATGTGTGATTAATTAATGAATAATGTTCCTGCCAGAGGTCTGTGAAGATGGAGGTGGCCCTGGAGCTCACCTACACAAGGAATAGCAGGCCATCCTGTGTCCAGGCAGTTGCCAGATCTAGGGGCTGGTGCTGCCCTGGTTTCTGGGGTCATGGGGACCAGAGGGGGCAGTGGGAGCCCACCATTGGGGGCTGCCCTAATTGGATGACTTCGCAGGAAGTCCAGGCAGGTGCGCCTGGCTCTCTGCTTCAGCTCGCTACAAACACATCTGCCATGGTGAGGTCTAGGGGTTAATTGCCTCCCGCCTCACTCCTGGTAACTGATATTTCATTTTCTACTCGGAGGGGGTGCTGCCCGGAGAATCAATCCCGGACAAGTGTCCAGGAGATAGGGGAGCTGTTTCGAGGAGGATCTTTGAGCAACAGAGGAGGAGGCAGGAGGTGAGGACCTAGAGAAGGTGGCCAATTGCTCAAGGCTACTCTGGGCCTCACCATGTTCTCCTGACCCTGAAAACGGCCCCAGTATTGCCGAGGGTTAGGAGAAAATCGCAGGGGTCCGGAGGCCATACTACCTCAGATAGCTGTGCTGTTTCCCTTGCCCTGGTTCCTTCTGCCCCCATAAGCTGTAGCAGGTTAAGTGCTGTTAATAAGGTTATTTTCACAAGCAATGAAGGTATATTTGAAAAGCGGAACTGGAGGTGTGAGTTCCTCACTCCCTTCCAGGTAACAAACCTTAAAATCCTATAAATGAGGTGATAATAAAGTGGAAGTGAAAAGTTTACACGTTTGGAACTGGGAGGGGGTAGAAGGATTACAGACAGGTGGCAGCTGAGGGCTGGAAGAAAGAGAGACCAGAAGGCTACCCGCCCCTCATGCTTTCCACATGCTACCCATTTGCTCCATCTACCAAAAGTGAAAACCACGGAATGGGTGACTCCAATTACACAGCTGGAAAAGCTGAGACCCACAGAGGAGCCCAGATTTGTTCAGGCTGGTTCAGGGTAGAGCTAGAACCAGAGACAACAGGACCCACTAGACACACAGCAAGTGGAACCGGAAGCACTGGACTCAAGTCCTGGCCATGCTTGGTGTTTCAGGAAAAGATGCTTCACTTCTCTCAACCTCAGTTTCTCCATCTATAAAATGGGGCTAGATAAAAAAATAGTTACTTGAAGGACTGTCGTGAGGCAGTGGGTGAGAATCTGTTCGTAAGTTAGGAAGCAAAATGCAAATGCATTTTTTTTCTTATAACCAAAGTCTCCTGAGACTCATGATTTAAAGTTCTTCTGGCTGCACTTCAATGCCTGGGACGATGATAATGATCGTAAAAGAAGATGAAGACACCTGGGTTGTTCTCCCACCCTGGTAACCCCAAAGTGAATGTGGGGCACTGGGAAAGGGGTCGATTTGGGGTACGCAGGATGTGGAGCTAAGTATTGGGACTGGAGTGCACCAAGTCCTCCAGTCTTCAATGTGGATTCTCCCACCCTTTTGTTCTGTGGCTTCCAGTGTGGAGTGAGAGCACAGGGATACCCTCGAGGCCCTGACCCACCCATCTGTTCTGGTCTCTACTTGCTCTGCTTGCTTCAACATTACTGAACACCTCCAAAAGGCCAGGCCCTAGCTCGGTGTGGAGGATCCAGAGATGGAAAAGAAACCACCTGGAGCTTCAAGACACCCACACAGGTCGTGCAGATACATCCAGGACATGGTGCTATCAGAGGGGTGGGGAGGGCTTCCCAAACTGTTAACAGAGGTTACCTCTGAGGGAGCTGGACTAAGTGGAGACTTACATTTTTTATTTATATAATGTTTGGAAAGGTTTTACAACAAATATATGTCTCTCTAAAATCTGAGCCTTTCCCCACTACCTCCGTGTTGTTGCTGAAGTCATCCTTTGGTGATGAAGAGGGGAGTAAAACCCAGGCAGCTGAAGATCTCCTCTTTGCTCGTCTACGGGCTTGAGGAATCCTGGAGCTGGAGGCACAACATAGACTCATCTCTCTATTAACAGCTAAGTTATAACAGTAGCTTATGTACCATAAACTGTTCTAAGAATTTTGCATGTATTCGTTTATTTAAACCTCACAATGATCCCACAGGGTAGTTACTATTGTTACACCCATTTTTTGGATGAGGAAACTGAGGCACAGAATAGTGAATTAACTTGCCCAAGATCGCATGGCTTACTCTTTCTGGGAACAGCCCTCTTGACTGCTCATTCCCTGGAGTAAAGGAAGGGTTGAAACTCACTCTCTCTCAGCTCCACCCCTGTCATTAGACACACTCCTTCCTACAATGCTTGTGCCTGGGCAGCTTGCGCAGAGGTGGGGCTCCTACCTTTTCCAAGATGGTGAAGGGCAAATTCGAGGGTTCCTCCCCAGGCCCCCAGGGCACAGACTCCTTTGCTCCCTTAGTGAGGAGCCCCAGCCTGGACTAGGACGACAGCCCAGGCCAGGAGAGTTACAGACCTTTCCCCAACTGCCCAGAGCTAGGGATGGGTCTACTAGGCTCTAGGCTACTTCAGCTGCCTGCAGAACACATGCTCATTATTCAAAGCCCAGGTTCATTGCCGGCTCTTCCATGAAGCCCTACTGGACTTCCCCAGCAGTTATCTGCCAGTCTCCAAGGCCATACTGAGAGCATTCTCCAAGTAGGACAATGCCTTACTCAGGACATAACATTGTGTCTGCCGCGTAATAATCATTCTACTAACATCTACTTCAGCTGCCTGCAGAACACATGCTCATTATTCAAAGCCCAGGTTCATTGCCGGCTCTTCCATGAAGCCCTACTGGACTTCCCCAGCAGTTATCTGCCTGTCTCCAAGGCCATACTGAGAGCATTCTCCAAGTAGGACAATGCCTTACTCAGGATATAACATTGTGTCTGCCACGTAATAATCATTCTGCTAACATAAAACAGCTGTTTCAACCATCTCACTCTCTGTAAACTTTCATCTCCTGTGATGGATGCTGTGATGCACTGCCTAGGTTTCCTTCAGTACTGAGTATCTATGCTCCCAGCTGCTGGGAGTGCTGTCAGCAGATGGCTCTCAGCTACTGGCCACTTCCAGGGATTGCCTGTGCCTAAGAGACCTGCCCTGACCAAAGACCTGCCCCTTTCTCAGGACAGCCTGCTTTCAATGACTGATCAACATGGGGGTTTAAACTCAGGATGACTCTGAAGAATCTTCCCAGCTTCAGAGCTCCCGGCTCAATTTCTCCCTCTGCCCAATCCTGCTTCCTTTCCTTCTTTTCTACAGGTATGAATTCCCAGAGCATTCCCTGATAAACTTCCTGCACAGTGATCTGCATCTCAGAGTCTGCTCCTAGGAGTACCCACCCGTGACACCTACTCCTAGTCTCATTCATTAATTGATTCCTTCAGCCAATTTTATTGAGTACCTATTATGTTTCAAGCCCAGCAACAAAGATAGTAGATGGAGTGTGAAGATAACAGTCCAATGGATGATCACATCTCCTACTTTCCAGAGAAGTCAGAAGCCCCAAGAAGACTCCATCAATTTCCACCATAAAATCCACAAACTTCCCTGCATCTGTGCCCCCTTCTCCCTCTTCTTTTTGCCTCCATGGAAGAGCTGTCCCCGCTTCCAGGGCCCAGCCTGCCACTGTGCTCTACATCCACGCCCTCCTACCAGTGTGACCAATCTATTCTTGTTTACCCAGGACTGTCTCAGTTTTAAAAATGAAAGTCTCACATTCTGTCAAACCCTTCAGTCCCAGCTGGGCAAAGTAAGATGGTTGACCACTCTACCTCTCACCTTCTTGGGAATTTACTTAATTGATAATCAATCATACCCCTCTATTAATCTTCAACTTCTCACTCTGTATCAGCCCCTTCCCATCATTTAAATCTCTCCTATCTTTAAAAATTCTCCCTGACCCCATATTCCCTCTAGCTACTACCTCCTGTCTCTGCTCTTTTTAACAGGTAGATGCTGTTAATGGCACATGCTGTTAAGCATCTACCTGTTAAAAAGAGTCGTAACCTTTTTCTCACCTACTCTGATCTGGCTGCTGCCGCTCCTATGAAAAACTACTCCCGCCAAGGCCACCTATGACTTCCTTGTTGGTAAACTGAGTGGACATTTTTTAGTCCTCATCATGCTTGGCTTCTGTGCTAGGGTTAAAGTCTGTCCCACGTTTAAGGATGGCAAGAATGATGTCTTGGGCTTGGCTTAAGAACCTTTTAAAATTAGTCTATATCTGAAACAGCTAATTTCACACCTAGGTGCAAAAGGTGTGCAGTGATAAGGATGCAGGTGAAAGGATGTGCCTCTCCTCTGCCTGCTTTTAGTACCTAGGGTTGGTGGTCTTCCCATTTACAAATAGTGAGATATCCACATACCTCTCAAGAGCACAGAATCTGTTGCCTTTCATACTCCTAGTCATATTAGCCCAGAAACATCTTCTGCCATCACACAAGGCAAAAATTCTGCACCTAGCCCTTACGTCTGGGTTCTAGGCCTTGAAATTCTTGTTGGGCCAGTACCAAGTCACTCTCCCCTTACCAGCATCTGTGGTGTAAAAATGAGTGGTTTTCCATTTGTATCCACTAAAGTCAGCCAAGCCAGGCCCTCAGCATCATGGGCTCAATTGACTCATCTGCAAAAGTCCTTTCCCTTGGCTTCTGAGATCCAAGGAACAGCTCTCTTTGACAAACTAGCTACACTCCTCCTTCAGACCTCATCTTGCATGCCGCTTCTTTAACTGCGGAGTCAGCCTCTGCTCCTTGCCTCACCCTGACTCAACTCATTTTCTCCGGCTAATTGTCCAAACCAGAACCGGACCAAGGCAAGACCTGGCTTATAGGACACAAGAGAAACCTGCCTGGAGGCTCCTGGGGACCCCGATCCCTCCACTGCACACCCAAACCTCTGTTGAAATGCACATCTCTGTGAGAGGGAAAGGGAGGGGACACCCATCTGGAAGTGATACTTTAACAGTTTTATTTCTCTTGGGTAGAATACCTTGGTTTTCTTATAGCTTTACAATAACAGCACCTTTAAATAGTTTTCTCATTTTATGTTCACCAAACCAGCAGTGTTATCCCATTGTACAGAGAGGGTAATTGAGGTCCAGGTAGGTGAATGAAGAGTTTGGGCCAAATCAACCAGGTATTAAATGGTGACTCTACTATCCCGATGTCAGGTCCACTAAGGGAATTTTGCCAACTGCTTTCTTGCATGCTTCAGAACTGCTCATGGTCCCAATGTGGGAACAGATCAGTTTAATGGCACATGGTGAGCATCTGGCTCCTGGCAACCATCACCTATTTCATCCTAATCAGATTCATAGAAAGCTATCCCCTTACACATGCAGGAGATTTGGGGGACTTTCTCATCCATTCTCTTCTAGGTGAGTAGGAAGGGTAGGATATTTGCCCCATTTTATAGATGAGAAAACTGACGCTCAGAGAGAAGTGACTTCCACAGTCTCAGCACTAATTAGTGATTCAGCCACTAGTGATCAGAATCAGGCCTCCTGATTCCAGTGCAAGACTCTTCGACCCCCACAACCGCGAGTTTTAGTGATCGGCGTGAGGTTGGCCCACTGAAATCCAGTGGAGGATGGAGCACTGCTGCCCAGCGGTGCCCTAAGGAGCCGATCGTCATAGTCGACAATCAGTCCATGAGACTCCTTACACTGTCAAAGCCAAGCGGGTGGAATCGCCCCTCTCTGCCTTCCCCGGCGCTTCCACATCACGGCTGCTCTCGAAGTTCATTCCTGAGACGGTCGCAGAGAGACAAGAGACTCTGAACAGCAGCTAAAAATCCCTTCTAGGATAAGCAGATGCCGACTTAGCCACAAAAGAAGCAGGTTTGAAAACGTTTTTGATGTCTAGTTGCTGCAATTGGTGATGAACCCAGTCCTAGGGCCCGGGCCCCTACTCCGCACTGGTTTCTGCGGGTCAGTCTGATGGGTCCAGCCTGGGAAACAGCCTCAAAATCTCTTACGACCAGCAGGAAGGGGAAGTGCGCAAGCGCACTGTTGACAGCGCCCGCCACCTCAGGGGTACTTTGTTACTTAGGAAACAGCCAATCAGAGATCCGGAAGGTGACCAATAGGAAGCGCGGATGAGCCAACCTGGCTAGTTTGAAAGCTTGGCGCGGGCGGAGGTTGGAGCTAGTGAGGTGGGGGTGTGGGGTGCACTCTCCTGTAGCCCGGGGCTCCTGTCTGCGGCGGAGGGACCCTGCAGCAAGCGGCGACACCAGCGGCGGGGAACCGACAAAGGGTAAGTGCTGGCCCCGCAGGCTCCTGCGCTCCGGCTTGGGACGCGCAGACCCAGCCGCTCAGGGCGATCTCTTGTGCGAGACAGGAAGGTGCAACGTGGAGACCGAGCAGGTTCTGCGTTGTCCTCTCCGAACGTGGTTGAGGGGCGGTGCGGGGAGCTGGGCACTTCCTAACACATATGAGCGGGAGATCAAGACCCCTCTGCTCATTTATACAGGACCTAGACTGGGTCCGCACCTCTGCACCCGGCCCCGTCCTCTGTACATCCGCTCTGTGAAAGGTCCTCCAGCTCGTGTGTAAGGTAGAACTGGGTCTTCCTGTACACCAGATCTGGAGACCTGGGACCCTCTGCGCATCTGTGTGGAGTAGCTAAGACCCTCTCTACACATCCATATGGAAGAACTGATTGCAGAGCTGTGCGAGCGGCCGTAGCTTAGTTACTGGGCATTCAGAAAATATTTGATAGAAACCATGCCTTTTGCGACTGCTCCTAGGATGATTCCTCTTAGCTTTGATCCATTAAGGTAGTAAAGTGACTTGGAAAAGATAAAGCCTGGTCTGTGTCACAGGAAACGGGGCGATTTTACTGAAGACCTTAGTTCTGGCATCATGGAAAAATGTTGTCTGTCATATTACTCCTAATAATAATGGCTAACATTGAACGAGCACTTACTCGGTTTGAATGAAATCATTTAACCCTCAAAACAATGCTATGGGATAGATACTAATATTTACATTTTACAGGTTGGGGAAGGCAAAGAAGTTAAGCCTGGCTCAGAGGAGATCATCTACAAAATTTTTCTAAATGAGCTGCTCTTCGGCATTACATTGCTTTCTCCAATCTTGTCCCTATTCTATTTTTCCTTTCCCTCACCACATCCCATGCTTCAACTGCCAACTTATCTGGTCCTTCTCTGCCTGTTTAATTATTGAATTACCACATCCTCAGATATTTTTAAGGTGTCTCAACTAACCCAGCTTCATTTATACCTTTTTTTTAAAAAAGTAAACAAGTAGCATATTTTTAGAGGTATTTATAAAAATTGTCTCTATCTGGACACAAAGCAAATCTAAATTACTAGTGTGCAAGCCATATTTTCTTTCCACAAGCAATTAAATTAAAAATATAAAAGAAAAAGAAAAACTCATGTTTGCATATTTTTTAAAAACCACTTAACTCAGTTAAATAGGATATTATAATTGTAATTAAAAGATAATTAACATGGAACAGTGATAATATTTGTAAAACTTGTGGGATGCAGTTAAAGCAATATTTAGAGAGTGATTTATAGTCTTAAGTGCTTACATCTGAACATTTTTTCTAAAAAGCTGAAAATGAGGCAAATACTCAACTTAATTAAGATAGAACAGAACAACAGAATGAATGTATAGGAAATAAAAAGGAGTTAAGAGCAGAAATTAATGAAATAGAATTTTACTACATAATAGAGAGGATTAACTTAGTCAAAAGCTGTATCTTTAAAAAGACTAATAAAAAAGCCAAACCTCTAGCAATATTTGATTAAGAAATAAAGAAAACAGAAAAAAAAACTTAGAAAAATGCTCTTGAGAATGAAAATAGGGACATAACACCAGTTACTGAGAGATTAAGAGAGACTGGTGGAACACCTTTTTTAACAATGCTTTTAGATAATTTTCTAGGAAAAAACAACTTACCAAAACTGGTTCAGAAGGTCTGGAAATTTTGAACAGACCTAGGACCATTGAGGAAGTTGAATTAGTTTAAAATCTACCAACACATCCATCAAAAAAAAAAACCCACTAAACCACCAAAAATTTATAAGCATCTGGAAGAAATTATTCTAATCTTATACAAACTCCCTAAAAAGAGAGAAAAAACATTTCTAATCTATTTTGTGATACTAAAAATGAGATAAAGAAAATTACAAGCCAATAACAATAGTTGTAAAAACCTTAAATATTAGCAATCAGAAGCCAGCAATGTATAAAAAATATGTTATAACCAAATTGGGTTTATCCCAAGAATATGAGAATGGTTTAACATTAGAAAATCTAATATAATATAATTACAGATTAAAGGAGAAAACATCCCAGTAGGCAGAGAAATACAATTCAATAGAATTCAGTACCTATTGATGATTATTTTTTTAATTCGATAAACTAGAAATAGAGGTAAATGTTCTTAAACCAACAAAAAGTGAAATAATAGGAGCATTCTCTATAAAATCAGAGACAAGATTCCTCACTGTTGCTGCCTCTATTCAATATTGTACTGGAGGTCCTAGCCATAACTATAAGACAAGAGAAAAATAAAAATCAAATTAGGAATAAACAAAAGTGTTTTCAGTTATAGCGTTATGAATGCCTATCTAAAAAACAAAAGAACACAGCCTTTTTGTCTGAATGACCGACTGGACTGTGGAAAGAACCAGTCGTCTTTGGCCCTTGCCCCGTGGGCACTAGGGTGAAGGGATAGGAGCCACAAAAGCCCAGCTACAGGGCAGAATGGCCTAGGATGAAAAGTAATCCCTCTGATGACAGTCTGAACAAGGTCAAGTTCTGGCCTTGCTATTTACCATCCAAGTGATAAGTTCCTTCCTGAGTCTCAGTTTCCTCTGTAGAGTTGGGATGTTAACTACAGAATGAGATTGATGTGAAAGTTAAATGACACCATTCGTAAGGCACTTAGCATAGTGCCTGATGCATAGTAAGCACTCAATAAATGTTAGCTGTAATAATAATTACTTTTAGACATTTGGATTCAGACTCTGCTTTTCTCTGGCTTTTACTCATTCATAGGAAAAATATTATACAGCTTTTACTGCATGCTGGATCTGGTGCCTAGGCATCTGGGGTACACAGACTATATCAGAAGAGGGTCCTGCTCTCTTGGCACTTAAGGACAAGAAACACAAGTATGTGCGAATTGTGAAGGAGCAGTGAGGGGGACTACAGCAACCCTTATAAAAATAGAACTTCCAAGGGCTAGGCACTTGCTGCGCCTTCCCAGCTCCCAATGTCTGTAGGCGGAACATCCTCAGAAATTCTTCTCCCGGGCTTCTGAGGAGCTTGGGCTTGTTCTGCCTGTCCCTCTGAGGATGGGCAGAGGAAGCTGTCCTGAAAACAACTGAATCTTGGCTTCCCCGCCCCAGCTTGAGAGTGAACTAGCCTCTGGGTTTTAATGAGCTGCCCTGTGTTAGAAACAGGACATGACTGTGGCTGGCTCAGAACCCTGAAGATCTTATTAAAGAATCATCTCCCTGGTACTTTGGGCTGAAATGCTCTTTCCAGCCGAGGATCAAAGCAAACTTGACAAACGTTCTCTCATTAATCTCCGCATTCCTCTGGGGTGGGAGCAGATCGGTAACTGTTCTCTCTGGCTCTCAAGGAAGCTGCGGTGTGGCTGGTGCAAAGACCTCCCCACCAGTCAGATGCAGAGCGAAGACCAGCACCCAGGCGTCCTAGCTGTGGCCGTTGCCAAATGTCACCCCCGTCCCCACCCCCATGCCCTCAGCGCTGTCTCGGGAAGAAGGAAAACATCTCATTAGGCAAACAGTCTGCCTCACTGGCCCTCAGGAAGCGGAGAGGAGAGAACCGTAAAGGTTATGCGCACTCCGCTGCCAGTGCCCTTTTTAATTTCCTGCTTAGAATGTTAGGGTGCTCTGTGGCTCCTCCTCCTCTGAAACCCTCCCTGTGCGGGAGCCGGGACTGCCATTCAGACTGCCAACATAGACGCAGACGGTGGGGCCAGACACTCTCTACCTTCACCTCCCCTTGTACAAGAGTGGGAGTCCCTGGGGGGTGGGAAAGCGAGGATAGGAGACAGGAACTCTCTCTGAGTTTTCAAAATTAGGTACAGTCCATATATCTGAAAGTGTTTGCAGAATATATTATGTTAGTTACATAAAAGGGATTATAATTATACAAATATAAGGCACTATTACAACAATGTGATCATGAGAGCATAATACATAATATTATAAGGCAGTATCTAGGCTCTGCAGTCAGACTGCCTGTGTCGGAACCAGGCTCTATTACTTACTAGCATTAGGATCTTGGGCAAGTTGCTTAACCCTCTCTGTCTCAATTTTCTCGCTGAGTATAATAGTCTCTGTCTTGTGGAATCGTGATGGAGACAAAGGGAGGTGGCACTGGTAAGGTGTTGAAAATACTCCCTGGCATAGTGGGTAAGCAGTTAACTATTATGTTTATTATTATGGCAGTCTGATTGCTGGGACCGGAAAAATATTATACACAAGTAAAAAGATTATTATTGGTATATCTTGTT